GGAAGGAGGGAGAGGGGGGAAGGGGGGAAAGAAGCAAGGAGGGAGGAAGGGGGACTAGAGAGCTCTGGGAAGCCGCGTGGTGACCAGCGAGTGGCGAGGGCAGACCTGGGCCGAGCCCTGCGCAGCTCCCGGGGGGGCGTCTGGGAAGGCAGGAGGACATACCGGTGCAGACCAGCCCTGCATCCTCGCTGTGGTCACAGTTGCTCCGGCCCCAGGGGCTTCGGGGACAGTCCCGCAGGGCCTGCTCTCCGCCTGCGCATCCTAAGTCATCCATCCACACGGGCCCGGAGCCTGGGCCGAATCTGGCCCCTCCAGGGGCAGCCAGCGCCCCGCCACAGCCCAGCTCCCGGCAGGCCACGGCGGCGTCGCGCAGGTCCCATCCGTCGTCGCACACGGTCCCCCAGCGCCCGCCGTGCCACACCTCCAGCCGGCCCGAGCACCCGTGGGGGCCGGAGACCACGCGCAGCCGCTCTGGGGGGACGGGCAGGGAGGGAGAGGGACAGCGAGAGGCCTGGTGACGGCAGCTGGGGATAAGTGGATGCAAATACCCCTCATTTGCCATCTGGGGAAACTGAGGCCTCGAGGGGGCAGTGGCCAGAGATCCGCCTGCCAGCCCGGTCGTTAACGGGAGAGGCTGGAACTGAGCAAGGCAGGGTGCCTGGGTCCCGGGAGAGGAGAACTGGGTCTCCTGACCTGGTGGGATGGGAAGAGAAGCCCGGGGGCCTGGGCCTGACTTTCTGACTCCCTGAGGAATTACATGCTCATTGAAGCCCTACCAGGGCCACAGGTTAAGAAGAGGGCACCCAGGGGGCCCCCCGGGTTGGGCCAGACTGGGCCTAGAGTCTCACCCTGTGCTGACGTGCAGAGACGAGGCCTGCAGGGGACTTACCCTGGCGGGGGGCTCCAGCAGTCAGCAAAGGGGCCCTGGTGGACTTGGCCTGCTTGGGCCGGGGGCTTTTCTTCCGGGAGCTGGTCTGGGGGCTCCCAGCTGGGCGAGGGGCTGGGAGAGGAGACAAAGGGGAGGGAGGTTGGGAGCCGCTCATCCTTCCTCCCACCGGGGCGGCCGGGCTGTGCTTCCCAAGGGAGCTGTGATGGGGACCCTCGGGGCTGCGGAGGAGAAGGAGCGTCTGTCTGTCCCCTGGGAGATCTCAGCGAAGACGGCCCCTCCCCCCACGGCTGAAACAAGGGAGAGGGCCCCGGGCAGGGTGGGCTCACCGTGGGTCACGGGGGGCTCCTCAGAGCTGGGGCTCAGCTCGCCAGCCAGCCCCAGCCAGGAGTCCCCATCCAGGATCGAAGGTGGATCGTCCCTGTCCCTCCAGGTGGCCACACGCTGACCTGGGGGAGAGTGCAGAGTGATGGAGGGGGCGGGCCCCAGGAGAGAGGCAGGGGCTGGGACCCCTGGCAACGGTAACTCAGGGGTCCTGGAAGGAGACGCCTGGCTTTCGGGGGTGTCAGGGATTGGGAGTACCAGGACCCTCAGAGATCCTGAGCTGAGGACGAGGGGTCCCTGGGCTGTCTCTGAAGGAGTGCCCCTCACCTGCGCAGACGACGCCGGCGTCCTCCTCATGGGAGCAGATGTGGGCCTTCCAGCCCCGGTGGGGGCAGAGACCCAGCTGCCCCTCGCTACCCCGGCAGGCCAGCTCACTCAGCCACACAGGCCCCGCGCCCTCCCCGAAGAAGGCGCCTCCGGGGGCAGCCAGCGCCCCCCCGCAGCCCAGCTCCCTGCAGGCCACGGCGGCGTCGCGCAGGTCCCATCCGTCGTCACACACGGTCCCCCAGCGCCCGCCGTGCCACACCTCCAGGCGGCCAGCGCACCCGTGGGGACCGTCGGCCAGACGCAGCCGCTCTAAGGGGATGGAGGAAAGGCTGTGACATCCCAGAGGCCGGGGGGGGGGGGGGTGGCCAGGGGGAAGGCAGGGGTGGGGGGCTGTCCTGCACGGTACGACTGGGAGGCCAGCCGTCCTGGCCACTGGTGGGGACCTCAAGTTCTGGGTGCCCAGGAGAGCAGCGGTGAGAGACACTGGCCCCAGTAGGAAGCAGGAGATTGGCCGCCCAGTGGTTCTGGGAGGAGCAGCACCCGAGGTCATAGCCGGACAGGGGGTGGCCAGAGTCCCAGCAGAGGGCGAGGCCGGGCTTGGGATGGGCTTGGAGTGGGGCAAGGCCAAACAGAAGTAGTGTTCGGGGCCACTTACCAACAGCCTGGATCCCCATCAGAGCCGCTGGAAGGGAGGTTGGAGGGGTGGGACAGAGTGAGGGGCAGGCCCAAGGGGGTCCTTTCTCCAGGGCAGGCCCCTTGTCTTGAATACCCCGACACACACACACACACCACAGAATCCTCACATCTCTGAACCAGAAACCCCACCGCTGGGAAGCAGGACTCTGGGCCAAGGGCCAGGCAATATTCACGTCCTTGAGATGGTCAGATGCCCCAGGGCAGGACTGGGGGCTGGGCCCTTGGTGCCCAGGAGCCTGGCTAAAGGTCAAATGGTGGGTGACTCTCCACAGGTTCAGGGCTGGTGAGGGGGGCGGGGCGGGTCCTGGGGCTCTTAAAAGGGTGGGACTGGGCATGCAGAAGGCTGGCTCCCTGGGGAACCAGGCAGGCAGGGCCAGATGTCCCATATCCAAGCACCAGTGATGGGGCCCCGGAAGTCTGAGTCCCTGGAGTGGATGAGCTCAGGGGTCAGAGAGCAGGGCCCAGGCCCCTGAGTCCCCAAGAAGGGGTCACTCACCGAGGAGGCAGGCCAAGACCCTCATGTCTGCAGAGCCGGGGCAGGGATGGGGTGAAAGGGGACAGGAGCAGGAGAGGGGAGGAGGCAGCGGCCACCGGAGGAGGGAGGGAGGGTGGGAGGGAAGCGCCTTCCCGAGGCGCCCTGGACCCGGGGAGGAGCAGGCAGGGGCTGGATGCTTTGCCAGAAGGGAGAGAGGCTGCTGAGGAGGCAGCAGGGGACAGGAGGGGGCGGGGAGGGGGCTGGCCGGCGGCTGAGGCCTGGGGAGGAGGGGGGTGGCGGGCAGGAGGGAGGGTGTCCAACTGCAACCACCCACACGAGAGCCGGCCAGGCGCGCCGCTGCGCTTAAGAGATGCTCAGGGGACGGCAGGCTGCAGAGAAATGACCGGACACGGGTGCAAGTGAGGAGACAGCAAGGACCGGGTGCCCTCCCATCTGCTTCCTGTCTTGTCCAGGCAGGGAAGCGTGGTGGGACCAAGGTAGAGCGGATCCAGCATGGATTCAAATCAGCTGCTGGGGTTGGGGACCTGACACATCGGGCTAACGGTGCAGCAAGAGAGCTTGCAGCCAGACACCAGGAAGGACTTCCCAGATTGGGGCTTGAGACTGAGAAACCCCTCTCTCCATTCTCCCTAGTGGATTTGCATGCAGTCCCCAGACCCCCATCTGAGGGAGCAGTGGTTGAACTTACGTGTCCCCCCGGGAGGTGGGAGGACCAAGGATTGAGGCTTAGGTGGGGGAAGGGGGACTACACACACACACACACACACACACACACACACACACAGTCACTCTCTGCACCAGGCAGCTGTGAGGCGGAAAAAATTCGGTAATGGGGAGCGTGAGTCAGAGGGCTGGCAGGGAGCGGGGCGCCTGCCGTGAGCTCATCGCCTCCCTTCTCCCCGTCCAGCACCCCCACCGACAATTAATGTCAACTCGGGGAAACAAGGAGCCAGACAGAAGGGGGGTTCTGAGGTGGACTGGAAAAGGCATCAGAGAGAGTGAGACCAGTGCACAGCAGTTCCAGGCTTTATTAACAAACGAGTGTAAAAACCCAGATGGGCCTGGCCGGCCCTCTCGGCTCTCACGGCTCTCACCTTCCCCGGGAAGGGCCAGCGGGCCAGGCAGCCCTGAGCTCATCCCCTCCTCCCCGGGGGCTCTCCCTCGGCAGACAACCCTCCCCTGCAAAGGCTCAGCTAGCTCATCCCCTCCAAGCACAGGAATCAAACTCCAGCCCATTCCCAAGAGGCCTTGTCCCTATTCTCCGCGTCCCCACCCCAAGTCCTAACCCTTGGGGGGACAGCTGTGCTCAGCCTCCTCTCCACCCCACATCCCTCTCCCAGGCCCATAGCACAAACAGCGCAGACTTTGCAGACAGACAGACCGAGATTTCTCAGTGCAGACAGAATCTGAGGCAGGGGATTAGACAGATTGACCTCTCTGAAAAGTTCAAACACTACAGACAGCCATCAGGCTGCGGTGGGGTCCCTTGCCTTCTGCAGACCTGTTTCTGGGCCCTGGGTGGGCTGGGGATTCACGGAGGGAGGGCATGAATGCGCCTGCACACAGTAGGTACTGCCTAAGTGTTGGTGTTCCTCCCTCCCTGTCTGGGTCTGGAGTCACAGGTCTTTGCTGAACTCTCTCACCAGCGTGTAGCCCATGCAGCCCCAGCTCCCGTCGGCCTGGTACCCACAGCCCTCCAGCATCCCCGCCACGCCCCAAGCTGCCACGGCCACCGGAACCACGAGCCGGGCCCGGGGCTCCCCCATGCCCCCCGCCCAGGCTCGAGCCCGGGATTCGGCAAAGGCCAGCAGGCGCCTGCCCACGCCTCGGCGCCGGTGCCAACGGGAAACGGAGAGGCGGGTGACCCGGGCCCCATCCCCGGCGCTGCAGCCCGGGGCCAGGGCCAGGACCCCGCACACGTCCCCCGAGCCGCGCACTGCCACCCAGGGCCCCCCCAGACCGCCTGGTGGAGGCAACGAGCCCCACCGGGCCCGCAGGCCCAGCTTCACAGCCGCCACAGCCAGGAACACAGGCAGGAGGAGGGCCAGGGCGAAGGAGGCCAGGACGAAGCGCAGGCCACTGCTGGCCGCCGCCAGGAGGAGCAGGGCTGGCGGCCGCGTCAGGGCATGCAGGGCCACGCGGTTCTCGGTGTCCTTCACACCAGCCTGTGGGCAAGAGAGGTAGTCAGGGCGGGGAGGCTTGGCCCTCCGTCACGATAGGGCCCCCGTGGGCACCAGGGACTAGGAGAGAGAACGGGACCTGCCAGGGAGGGATCCAGGGTGGGGGCTCCCGAAGGAGAAGGGAAGGAGTTGATGCGTGGTCAGCTCCACAGCCCTCCAGCTGTTAACACCCCGCCTGACCCCCAGGCGTGAGAGAGGGCGCTAGAGAAAGGAGGAGTCTTGCCAGGACGTGGCTTAGGAGGAAATGATGGCTCCCCAGGGATCCCGGCTGGCTCAGGCACGTGACCGAAGCTACTCACACTGGGGTCCCCGCCCCCCCAGGCTCATGGTGCCCCCAGGTGCCCCCTCCCTGCCACCCCCAGGCTCATGGTGCCTCCAGGTGCCCCCTCCCCCCCCCCCCAGGCTCATGGTGCCCCCAGGTGCCCCCTCCCCGCCCCCAGGCTCATGGTGTCCCCAGGTGCCCCCCCCCCGCCCCCAGGCTCATGGTGTCCCCAGGTGCCCCCTCCCCGCCCCCCCAGGCTCATGATGCCCCTGCTGGCTCTCACCTTCAGCATCTCCAGCACCAGCGGTTTCTCATCTTCCCTCATCTCCCGCACAGACAGGTGGCTGGGGGCCATGGCAGCCCCCAGGCTCCCGCTCCCCCAAAAGGGAGCAGGCGTGCGCCTGGTGAAAGCAAGCAGTGAGCGTCAGGAGGGCACCTCTCGTCCCCAAAGCGCCCCAGGGGTGGGGACCAGCAGCAGCACGTCCCAGATCAGGACACTGCAGACGCTTGGGGTCCCCAAGCAAGGAACGAGACAGCATAGGCCTCCCTCCACCCAGCGACCTTTCTCAAGTCTCCAGGGGTCCCCCCTCCCGCCCGCCCCGTGGTGTTCAGCGATCTACCCCTAAACGCCCTGTGAACGCCAACACCTTGCAACCCGAGGCTCCCGCCCAGGATCCGGGGCTGCCCCGGGGAAGGGGGTGGTCAGCGAAACTCCCCCCACAGCCGGGGAATGGGCCGCGCTCCCCAACCCCGGCGCCCGGCGCCCCTTCCCCCCACAGTCGCAGAAGCAAGGACACGCAAGCACCTCTGCAGGTCGCTTCGATCCTTCGACAAGGTGTGGGGGCAGCAGGGTCGGGAAGGGGTCGCCGGCGGAAGTGACGTCACACCGCGCACGGAGGGGGGCGGGGCGGTGCCTGCACTCGGCCTTAGCAACTGTTGCCAAGCTCCCGGCGGGGGCTCGGGGGAGTCCGGGCGTGGACTGGGAGGGACCGGGCAGGGAGCGGCGCCCCTGCCGGGGGTGGGGCGGGGAGAAGGAGCCATGGAGAAGGGGGCCTCTGGGAAGACGGGAGCAGACGCTGGCGGGGGAGGGGCCGGCAGGGAGGGGATGGGGGCGGTGGGACCCGGCGGGGTGGGGCGGGGAGCGGTACTCACCCGGCTCGCGGAGGGTGAGCTCAAGCTCGCTGCCCGACGTTCCCTGGTTGCTAAGCAACCGGAGCGCTGAGAGGGGGCGGCGATGCGAGCAGATCAATTCTCATTGGCTCCGGGGCCTTCGTGGGAGGGGCCGTGCCAGCATCCCGAGCCCACTAGCTCCCAAACTCCCCCACCCCAGGAACCTCCACGCCAACCCACCTGGGCTCTCAGTGACCTTCAGATAAGCATTCCCATCCGCCTATCTTTCAGATGACAGGAGGGGTGGGGTGAGTTACAGCGAACAAGTGGCTGAATCCGGATTCTGGATTCCAACGCCTCCCCACTACAGTGACCACTGCATCCCTTTTTTAAGCATAAACCGAGCCCCACATAGAAGTGGCTGACCCCAAGACGCAAAGCAAGTCACCTGCGAGCCAGGAAGCAAGAGATAAGACTCCAAGCTCCCAAGCGGTGGTTATGGCCATGACATTTCCCTCCGCGCCCCTCCCCACCAAAACAAAACACAGAAGAGGAGGTTCTGGTCTTTATTAGCAAGCCCGGCCTGCAGCACCCCTGCCCACAACCCAACCCAGGCAGACAGAAAGTCGGGGTCTCCGTGTGGGGCGGGAAGAGGTACCAGTGGTTCTACTCAAAACGTGTGCACCAGCTGGACTGCGGGCAGAGTCTGGACAATCTGGATGGAGGGCAGGCCCTGTGGGGTCATGCCCCCAGGCACAGCTCCTGCGGGGACCACTTGTACCATCTGGGAAGTGGGCGCCGCAGGGATGCCCGCGGGGATAGAGGCTGGGCCAGGTGGCGGTGGGGCCAGCAGCTGCAGCGTGGCGGCGCCTCCCCCAATGCTGCTGTTCTCCAGCAGCTCGGTGGTCGGAGCGCTGCGGATGATAAGCAGTTTCTGTCCCGGGGGGCCGGGGGCAGGCGGCTCAGCCAGCCCCGGGGGGAGGGTCTCTACCTCCTGCACACACAGCTGAGTCTGCTCCCCATCGGCCCCGCTCAGCACCAGGACGCTCTGCAATCCCTCATCGGTCTGCAGCGTCTCAAAGAGCACGTCCTGGACCACGCCAGCGCTGGCCTCACCGTCACCCGGCTCCCCGGGGCTGGGGCCCGCCAGCAGTTCCTCTGCTGCTCCACTCTGAACCACCAGCAGATTGGGGGCCTCAGTGGTCACCGCTCCCGCACTAGGATTGGACAGCTGGCCCGCCACAGGCTGGAGCTGGACCGTGGTCACTTCCTGGGCTGGCTGGAGCTGGACCGTGGTCACCTCCTGTGCCGGCTGGAGCTGGACCGTGGTCACTTCCTGTGCCGGCTGGAGCTGGACAGTGGTCACTTCCGGGCCTGGCCGGAGGGGCTGCAGCTGGACCCCACTCATTTCCTGTGGCCCTGCCTCCCCAGCCCCGACATTCTGCAGAACGATGAGGCTCTGCCCTCCCCCGCTGGCCCCGGCGTTGCCCCCTCCCTGTACCCCCAGCCCCCCAGGGCCGGGCAGCCAGACTACTCCAGTCCCCGGTCCAGCTTTCCCCACTGCCCGGGGGCCCTGTCTTGCGCGGCTGCCCCCACAACCAGTACTGGAGGAAGGCAGCAGGATAAGCTTGGGGGGTGCGGGTGGGGGCGGGGGCGTAGGGGGCTGCACGCTGCTGGGGATGAGCTGCAGGCCTTGGGCGGTCTGCACCAGGAGGAACGTCTGGGAGTTGGGGGCTGCCGGGCCTGGGGGCGGGGCCTGGGCCGGGCCCCCTGCCACCTCGAGGGAGAGCGTGGCCTGGAGGTGGGGGAGGACATGGACATCTTGGGTGGCAGAAGGGGCTGGAGCGGCAGCCAGCGGGGCAGGGGG